AACTTTTCTTGTAGAGGACGCTACGGATAGAGAAGACGTAACTCTTCTTGTAGAGGACGCTACGGAAGAGAGAAGACGTAACTTTTCTTGTAGAGGACGCTACGGAAGAGAGAAGACGTAACTTTTCTTGTAGAGGACGCTACGGAATAGAGAAGACGTAACTTTTCTTGTAGAGGACGCTACGGAAGAGAGAAGACGTAACTTTCTTGTAGAGGACGCTACCGGAAGAGAGAAGACGTAACTTTTCTTGTAGAGGACGCTACGGAAGAGAGAAGACGTAACTTTTCTTATAGAGGACGCTACGGAAGAGAGAAGACGTAACTCTTCTTATAGAGGACGCTACGGAAGAGAGAAGACGTAACTCTTCTTATAGAGGACGCTACGGATAGAGAAGACGTTGTAAGGTTAAGCTCTTATATTGTTATAGGTTTTTGAATATTATTTAATATTATCATTTATAGTAAGTTGGGTAAAATAATAACTAGATTTAGTAGGAAACGTAAATAAAAATAGTAGGGTTAAAATTTTAATTTAGAGCTTAGTGGTGTAACTTGTACTACAACGTTAGATTAGGCTTAGGACGTGTAACGATACTTAACGCTAAGCTATAATTCAATTTACTAATAAATCGTAAAACATGTTAAATAAACTATTTTATTAAAACTTGAAGATAGCTTTGAGACACAGAAACATCTGTTAGCTGAGTTCTTGCACAGATCTTAAGATATAACGTTCATAAATGGAAACATCGGCTCATGTAGATATGTAGATCTTGAAAGTCGAGTTGTTCAAAACTTGAAAATAGCGTTGATAACTGGATCAATTGTTGGTTGAGATGTTGCAAAGGAAATATCTACTGAAGCTTTTCGCCAGACACTAATCATAGCAGAACCGTTTGAAAAATGATCTATAGGAAATAGTACAGCTTATAAAATGAGTCAGATCAACGTAGGTTGGTAAAGCAATCACTGATTGGTATGTCCTTTAGCCAATCAGGAAATGTTACAGACCTACTGAAGGATGTGTAGATTGTATATGAATTCCTTTTGGCAGCAAATGACAGGTATATGTGTTTTAATAAAGGTGGCTTCCAAAATAGAGATGAAAGGTCGGCTGACCATTTGCAATAATTTCAAACATGCTATCCGTGTAGTTGTCAGCACAAGTCGGATTCACCAGTAAATGCTTGCCAGTCGCTGATTCACATTTTGGTGGTAGAACTTTTGTTTTACAGGAGCAACATGGTAAATTCTTTTCTTTCACACTCTTATTTCTTATGGATGTGGGTACATGTTGTTTAATTCTATCCTGCAGTCTTTGTGAAGTGCGACCTACGTAACGACATTCGCAGTGGCTCGAGAATTCATAAATAACCATACTTTTCTCTGTGGTAGGTATCGCATCTTTGTGTGTGTTGCAAATTTGTCGTATAGAGTAGCCTTCATCAGAGAAAACGTAGATTTCTACACGTTTGTAATGTGTGATGCCTGTCCTGGAAATCATGAATGCATTCACCAAACTACTGCTGGGATTAGTAATTAGTATAAGTGATTAATGTGGCATCATCTAATTGCTTGGATGACAGCCAATACCACTGTAAACTTCAACATGTGGTGATACTCCAGTGCAGTTAATTTTCATACAATATTTACAACGTATATGAATTTTATTCAATGATGCCATACTTGTTTCCAATACTGTATATATATATATATATATATATATATATATAAAAAACAAGATTCGTTTTGTTGCGTTTGTTTTATATAAATCTGTCATACGCTTTTGATACAATTAATTAAAATTATAAACATACAGTTTTATTCATTCTCATAAGATCGTCATAGCCGAGCCTGAATTACTAAATCAACACACACACACATAAGAAGGCTTAAATGTATTGTATATGTAATCACTAATGATATAAACTAATTCCGTGGTGACATCTACTCGATAGACTTCATCCAGTTTTACTTGCCCGAGGAAAATGTGAATAATTTTGAGAAAATTAAAAAAAAATGCTTAAAAGAATAAAACCTTATTTAGTTTCAATGCAACGAAATATTCAGTTAGATTCTATTTAATGTTGATATTTAAAATATTGCTGGATAACGAGAAAAAGCGCAACAGATAAATAATGCGTTTAGAACTTGCACCTGTATGGTTAAGGCTAACGTCTCAGCAGATATCATTTTGTTAAACAAATGTCATCACAGTGGTACCGGAAAGTAGATAAAAATATAGATGTATTGCTCATCTTAATAGTCGGAAAAAGGAATTCAGTATTGTTTATAGGCTATGTATTTATATATTTGTATTCCGATTTTGTTGAACTACTCCCAGGTTTCTTGACAAAACGATTTGATATTTGGCAAGTAGGTTCTTAAATTGTATAGAAAATAATCGAATAGAACATTTTCGAAAAAATCGTGAGAGCCGCAAGGGATTTTAGACCTATCCGATTTGACAGAACCAACTTACTTGACAATTGTTACAAAATATAAGAAGCTATTCAAAACAATTATTTAAATTCATATTTTCATATTTTAAACGTTCAGTCCCAGTATATGGCTAAAGGGGGTTTCGGAGGATCACTCGAAATATGTATCTTCTTTAGATGTTTCAAATTTTCATTTTAATAACCTTTCTTGAGGGATCTAGGAGATGTTGGGAGGAGTCAGTAAGGTAGCACGGATTAATTTGTAAATTAAAATAGAATGGTGGTTCGGAATAAGATGTACACATTGTGAGAAGTTGAATTTCCCGAGAGCTTTTCACTGGTAATCTATTAGTGAATTAGAAACTGAGACATACCTATATCTTGTCTACGCCTAAACTGTTGTTACATAAACAGGTTTTGGCGTTCGTGTTTTAGTAACTAGAAGTAACTGAAGTGAAACTATCACTTATGGTTGTCTATACTAATTTCAAGTAGTTGTTGTTAAACTCGACAAAAGTAAGTAAATAGAATTGTAAGTTATATAATAACCAAGAGATGTCAGAAGTGTTAGTAAGAAACGTCAAACCCGCAACTCTAAAAGAAAAGAATGGTTTATTTTTAATTTTTTTGATATCATTGTATACAAATGGTTAATTTAATTTATAAGAACGATCTGCATTTGCTTTTGCAGTTGCGTGTTATCTTAACTGCGAGCCGTAGCGCCACGTGCTACATGTTTGGCAACTTTATATTTGGTTCACGGAATTCTCAAAACACCTGTCAATTCAATGAAATTCGTGGGGTTTGTATCTGAAATATACGTCAAAAACCTTTCTGATGAAGACTAATCTTTATCAAGAACGTTAAACAATTTAAAACCAAAAGGCTTAACATTTCGATAAAAAACAGGAGCCCTAAAATCGGAAGAACTGGCATAACAGGGCGTTTGAGCGTTTAGGAGATCATCAGTGACTATACAGAAGTTCACAAGCTTCCAGCCATACCTCAAGATGAGCAACAGTCTCGCGAAAAATATAAACGAAGAAACTGAAAGAACAATATTTCACTCAATCTATCAAGAACCCCCTTGTTTTTGGATCAGCTTAAATGTGGTCTTGAAGGCCGACGTCCATGCAGTAAGAGTGAAAGGTTTGTGGAAAGTTTTTTCAAGATGCATGTTATAAGACCAATCTTGCTGTCTTCACAGAAACTTGGTACAATCGAAATTGCAGTATTGAAATA